AGTTTGTCCATGTATTTTCCTGATAACTTACTACATTTCTCAATTCGTCTTCCATGCTTAGAAAAAATGAGAAGAAAAAAAACTGTTGGCTTAAGATTTTATTCATTCATCAACTACTTATGGAGTTTCCACTAGATTATAAGCTACAGGACCACCAGGTGCCATCAAGTTGATTCCAGTTATGGTGACCCCGTGTATGTCAGAGTAGAACTGTGCTCCATACGGTTTATAATGGCTGATTTTTCAGAAGTAGATCACCAGGCCCTGGGTGGCCTCAAACTTCCAACCTTTCAGTTAGCAGCTGAGCGTGTTGACTCTTTGTACTGCCCAGGAACTAGGGCAGGGATTTTCATATACTTTTTCAATACCATTTCTTCAGAACCTAGAGATGTGCCTGGCACAGAATACATGATCAAAAAATATTTGTTAAATGACTGAGTGCCAGTTAATACGGCCTGCTTTATTCTAACTGCTGAGGACACAGTGGGAAGCCCTCAGGGAGCTTACATTCTAAAGGGAAACTTAGAGGAGATTGATTAAATAATCATAAATTAAAAATGTCAAATTGCAAATGTTGTGACAGTGTTGTGATGCAGAGGTACAAAATGCTGTGAAGGTTTAGACTAGAAGAATCTGCTCTCCTGGGAGAGATCTAGGAAGGGGGTCCCTGAAGAAGTATCTGGAATCAAGATCCTGAGGATGAGTAAGTAATAACTAGAGGAAGAGGGAATGTTCCATCATGGTTAATTTCACCTTCAGCTCTTTTCTTCCCTTCTCACCCTCTTGTCTCCTCCTTAATATTTATCTTTACAGTCTCTTCCTATTTTTCCTGCTGCCTTAGTTTGCTGGCTTCTCATGGATTTCTGCATAAATCTCAAGTGCACATAGACCTTCTTTTAGCCAGAGTTTACTCTTCTATTAAAAATACCAGTATTATTTTCAAAACTAAGCATGAAACATCAAAGAGAAAAAAGAACAAAAATGTAGAATATTTAGAACATAAGTGAAAATACCTTTTCCACTTATTTATTTTTAATAGCTGTGTGCCTTGGAAAGTACCACAGGATTGTTTCTTAATACATTTTGATTGGTCAGCCAGCTGGATAGTTAGTGGCTTGGCTGTTTGGTTGGCTGACTGCATTGCTGGCTGACTGGTTAGCCGCCTAGCCAGATGGTGGTTGGTTGACTAGCTGGCTGACTGGTTGGGTAGCTGATTGGTTGATTGGGTAGTTGGTTGGTAAATAAAGATGAGGGTGATAGTTTAACTTTGGCTTTAAAGTCAGACTTAATTTTGTTGAGATTCTAACTGACGTTTCACTAACTCTATTACATTGAACAATCCGTTTAAGCTCTATAACTCTCAGTTCATTCTGTAAAATAGCACCTTTCTCATAGGATTATTGTAACAATAAAGGAGATATTGCATATACAGCTTCAGCATGGTCCCTAGAAGATAGAAACTGTTGATTGGTATATGTCTTCTATTTTAACGGAAAAAAAGAAGCTTGAGTGTTGTTTCTGAAGGGAACAAAATTAGTGGAAGCAAATGATTAATGCTTAATGTTAGCTCCATTAATTTTAGTCCTTCAGATATGCTTCACTGCTGCAAATTCACATCTACAACAGACCAGAAGTACACCTGCCCAAGAAGGAGATAACATATATAGAAAATTCACAGGCAAACCATTTTTTCCTTGACAGATTAAAACTTAATTCTCCTCCCACTCTCTCCCTCTCCCACTCTTCCTCATTGCCCTCTCATTGCATTATTACAGGGCTCATTAGGATAGTAATTTTCTCAAACAAAAAGGGTATGTTATATTATTTCTTGGCATGGGAGGTAGTAGCTACGTGAGTGTTTGCTTTATAATTATTGGTTAAATTGGTTTATGTATTTTTCTTGATGAACACTTTCATATACACGTACAGAAAGAAGGTAAAAATGGCATGTTTAAATGGGATAGGATAGGATAGCACAGACCAAATTTAATCCTAGGTTGGATCTTTAGAAGCAAATCAAAACAAATACACAGGCAGTTAAGCCTGATTGTGAAATAGAAGAGATGAAGTTGGTTTCAACAACTCCAGATTGGCTAGCTCCATGTCACACAGTGAGTGGCTAATTACTGAACTTCTTTTTTTGCTAATCTGTTCAGATATAACCTGTGCCCAGAGTCACTGTAGGATAAGATCTTTATAGGTCATATGCCACTGTCTGAACTTGAGGTATAAAGAACTTCTCTACCGCAAAGCTCTTTTCTAAATGCCGATTAGCAGAGGCACTTTGAACCGACACCACAGCCCCATCTCTTCCAGCCATCGTGGTTAACATTCGTGCCACTTATGCATGATTTCAGAGATAGCTGTCTGGGTTTATTAAATGACATCAGAATTAAAGTCTAGAATTACCCATCTTTATTACTAACAAGCAGCTTTTGGTTTTTCAGCGCCGACTGGGAGATGCAGCCAAGAAAGCCATCAGCAAGCTCCAGGTCAGGACCATCAAGAAGGGTGACAAGGTAACAGCCCTCTTTTCTCTTTGGTGAGAAGCCCCCAACTTTTTTGGCAACTAGGGTAGAAGAGAGGGAAGGATGGGGAAGGAGATACATGCTAATAGTTGTCCTGTCAGCATCTGTTGCTTATACCCTTCTTTATTAAATATAATTTCAAGCAATTTATAAAATGCATACAAAAGGGACAACAAAATAGTTGGATAGAAAAAAATGAGCAATTGAAAAGTTGTGTGTAGAAAAAATAAATGGAAGTAGGATGAACTTAGTACATTAGTACAATTAGTAAGTAGTACAAATACCTTACCTGAAGTGTTACAACAGAAATGGTCCCAAATTTAGACTGGTGCTTTGAAGCAGCCAGTGCAAAGAAGAAAACAACATTCACTATTTAAACACTATGTAATTACTTTCTTCCAGTGCCCCAAAAGGTAAAAATAAAACAGTTTGTTCCTGGTGTTATGACCTGAGAAAGTTTTTCCACAAATCCTTGCTAAGAAAATAGTGTTGTGTGCTGAACCATGTCCTCCATTTAAGTCTGCAGTAAATGCAGGGAGCATATTCAGTCCCTCTGAAACTGAGAATTTAGAACCCCAAAGTCATTGCAACAGCCCCCCTTGAATGACGACATAAGGCCAAACCAAAAAAAAAAAAAAAACAGTTGCCATTAAGTTGATTCTGACTCATGGCAACCCCATGTGTTTCAGAGTAGAGCTGCACTCCATAAGTTTTCAATGGCTGTGATCTTTCAGAAGTAGATTACCAGGCCTTTCTTCTGAGGTGCCTTTTAGATTCAAACTGCCAAGCTTTCAGTTAGTAGCCAAGCATTTAACTGTTTGCACCACCCAGGGACTCTGTAAGGCCAAAAGCAAAAGCAAATTTTGAGGAGGAACAAATCAGTGCCATCCAGGGCCATAGACTCAAAAGGTCTCACTTATCCCCAGGAGAAGTTTGAGAGCGGTGGCTGACAGTACATGCGCTTTGGCCTCCTGGAGGCATTACAAGCAATTTACAATTCTACATGTACACCAAGGGTCATCTCTAGTCTGAATAATTAGTGTATCTCACAAATTATGTGCTACTATTTTTCAACTGGAGCCCTAGTGGCGCAGTGGTTAAGAGCTCAGGCAGCTAACCAAAAGGTCAGCAGTTCAAATCCACCAACTGCTCCTTGGAAACCCCATAGGACAGTTCTACTCTGTCCTATAGGGTCGCTATGAGTCAGAATCTACTTGACAGCAACGGGTTCGTTTATTTTTCAACTATAAAAATGCTATTGGACTTAATAAGTTAAAATTTATTTAAAACCATTACTGAATTTAAAGTACATTTGGTTTTTTCTCCCCTCCCCGGCCTTAATCAGAGACTAATAAAAGTGCAAAAACTATTACATAAGTGATAAATTTTGGGTCACTAAAGGAGGTTTATATACTCAGACAGAAAATGGAACCACTATTTTAGAGTTCTGTACGTTAGATTCCAAAGAAATGGATATTTTAAATATCATTCAGATAATTCTCCATAAATATTATTTCTCATCCTCAAGATTTTGATGTGTCCTCTAATCATTATAATAAATACTAGTATTAGTCATGGTACATCAGAAAAATGTTTTCCTCCCAAAAGCACTTTCAGTGGAACCCAGAAACAAAGTAGAGGCTGGGAGGACTAGACACTAAGCTAACATACGGTGAATTATTAATTAAGAAAACTGACACCAGGGCTGTTGAAAGCCTTGCTCAAAGCAAGCTCACCTTGGGTCTGTTGTTTGAGTATTTACACAAGTTTCAGCTAAGAAAGTAGGCTGATCTGTGCTTTCTCTGTTGCAGGAAACCGAGCCTGATTTTGACAACTGTGCAGTCTGCATTGAAGGGTACAAGCCTAACGATGTGGTCAGGATCTTGCCCTGCCGGTGAGTCACTAGGCTGTTGCTGCAGACTGGGTCTTGTCTGGAGGGTGCCTGCTTGGCCTCCTGGCTCAGACCTGATCGGCAGAGCACTGCCACATCAGTTTGCCTAAAAGTTTCCATGTTCAAATTGCAAACAGCCAAAACTCTGGTTCTTTTTGTATGACCTTTATCCTTGAATACATTTTGTTTCATGAAATTAGAAATGTTTGTCTGATCCCTTACATCAAAGGAAACACACTGCTATGAACTAAAACATCATGATACAGAATTTGAAGATGTGACTCCAAGTAAGAATTTTCTTTAACAACAAACCTATGATATTCAGAATCATTTACAAGTGCAATTGTAATTAAAATAATAAACTCTTGAAATATTTTTTGAAGGATCATGAAGAACTGGGCAGTCAGAATATGGTCAACAGTGAATAGGAAGCCAAAGGCAGATTCCATTTTCCTTTGTTTTTTACTAACAGGAAGAGAATGTGACAATCACCCCCCAAAGTTTTAGAATCTAACAGGAGATGCCAGCATGTGTAGTGGGAACAACTTCCCAGGTGATTCTCATATAACCCTAAACCCTCTCCCTAATTAAAATTCACTGTTTAGGTGTCTGAATTCCTTTAAAATTGCTAAAATCAAATAAAGTTAAATATTTTTTAAGTTACCTACAAACAGTTATCCTATAATTGAAAACCAGATTTTAGTGGTTTTGCTTTGTGCAGGTGTCCTAAAAATAAGAATTAAATTATGCTTTGAAGAAAGGTTTTCCAGCTAGAAAAATTGGCCTTAAAGTTTCTTACAGTGTTCATAAGTAGATAAAGTAGAAAAGAAAAAAAATGCCACAAAGATGTAAAACAATCCATTTGTTCATAAACAAAGCAAATTAAAGCATTATTTATTAGAAATACAAAATAAATACAAATATACCTTCTGAAGAATTCGTTTAATCATTCCAAAATGACAAAGAGGTGACAAAAAAGGACAAGATGCACAAATAGATGCCGAAATTCCCAAGGAGAACAGGTCTTAGCTGAAATTAAAAAAAAAAAAGAAACCAAACCCTCTGCAGTCAAGTTGATTCTGACTCATAGCGACCCTACAGGACAGAGTAGAACTGCCTCATAGGGTTTCCAAGGAGCGCCTGGTGGATTTGAACTGCTGACCATTTTAGCAGCTGGGCTCTTAACCGCTATGCCACCAGGGTTTCCTTAGTTGAAATGGTCTTAGGCAAGTTGATCAGTAGGTAAACACACCTTAGGAAGGTGAACCCTGGTGGCCCCAGGCAAAGCTTCCCAGTGTGATTCACTCTCGTTAGTTCATAGTTGCTTGACCTGATCTCGAAGACAAAATCGTAGTTTGGTAAACATAAAGCTCAGCAGTTTCCTTCTCTATAAATACTCTTTCTAGACACTATACTCGGTGTACACTCAGTCACTTCTAGAAAAACTATCAGAGAATGGCAGCAAGTGTGCTACAGAGAGTATCCATCATCTCTGCGATGTTTTATTAAGAATTTTATAAAGCCTCATAGTTATAATCAAGTCAAGTGCTTTCCTTCCTTTCTACTTGGAGATTGTTTAGAGCCCCATAAGGGTACCACTAATAAAAAATAGCTAAAGCAACTTAAGGTTAAATAGTAACTTTTTCCTGAGGATCCAGAGATCTTTACAAAGAAAGTTAAGAAAATCTGTTTTTAAAATTATGTATAGCATTATGTTAGCTCTACAATATTATATTGTACAATACAATATTAAACAATTTGTTCATTTAGTCTGGCTTGAGTATTTTCCATGTTACTACATATTCTTGCTAGAGGCTGCATAATATTCAAGCCATAGATGTACCACAATTTAATTTAGCATGCCCCTATTTTGGGGAATCCCTGGGTGGTGCAAATGGTTAAGCACTCAACTACTAACTGCAGAGGCTGTCGGTTTGAACCCACCCAGAGGCACCTCAAAAGAAAGCCCTGGTGATCTGCTTCAGAAAGACCCTAGCCTTGAAAGCCCTATGGAGCAGTGCGGGGTCACCATGAGTTGGAATCAACTTGACAGCAATGGCTTTGGTTTGGGTTTGGCCCCTATTTTGGAACATTTGGCTGTTTTCAATTTTTAATTATAAATTGCATTGATATAACAATTTTTAGATTTTCATGATATACTACTCCAGACCTCCTTTTATTAACTTTTTGGAAATATTAACCAAGGAAAAAAATAGCCTTTTAATATTTTTACCATGAAAATAAAATTTTTTAGGAACTTTCATTGAATTTACGCACTAGCCCTTGTCCTAGACCAGTTTACGTGATTATTCTGGTTCTCAGCTCAATCCTTGATTCTTTTTGCTTCAAGCTCCTTCCTGTCCATCCTACTTTTATTTTCTGATTGTGGACCCTGCTTTAAATAACAGAATACATTGATCATTATGAAACACTGATTATAGATAATTACTGTTTGATCTTACACTAGCCACACATACATACTCTTTGAATAGCTCATCTATTTTTTTCCATGCTAGTTTTAAAATCAGAACATTTTTTATGCCTGTTGCTGCTTTCTCTGAGACAGTTTCCCTAATGGTTGTGATCAAACAAGTGCACTGGCATTTTCTTTTTTGCCAGATAATTTCCTCTGGGGTATTATTAAGCCTTTGCTCCTTGAACTTCATAGACTTTCTGTTTCATTATTTCCAGGCTGACTCATCCCCTGAATTATTTGCATCTGCTTGGAGTGAAAACTGTTTCAGAAAGCATTCCAGTTTATTGTCTTCCTTCCTTCTTTCATACTCTTTTCCATGGCTTCATAACTCCTGACATACTTGGTTCATCTCGTCCATATTGTTGCCATTTAAGATGTCTTTCAAACCACCCAGGTCTACACTTGGACCTCAACTTCTTCAGCATCACTGTATTCTTTGTCTCTTTTGGAGACCCTTGCACAAATGATGATGAATTCGTAAATGCCTTGCACTCTTGATCTGTAGTCATGGTGATTGTTGAAGTTAAGTCCTTCACATACACCTACCAGCGCTTTCCCCTCACTCTTTCTTCATACAGGTACTTCCCTAGCACGTGAAGGTGAGGTCTCCCCATGTGGTGTCAGGCATGTAATGTGAGGGAGGACACCACAGCTGCACACAGCACCTCCAGATCATAGACATCTGATTTTTGTGATTTTGACTTGATCCTAATATACAACTAAGATAATTTCCAAGGAATTTTGGTTTTGCTACAATATACTTCTGCCACATATGCATTATACTATATTTATGGTTGGTATTGGTGCTTAAAGGAGCCTTGGTGGTGTGGTGGTTAAGCGCTTAGCTGCTAACCGAAAGGTCAACAGTCTGAACCTACCAACTGCTCCATAGGAGAAAGATGTGGCAGTCTGCTCCTGTAAAGTTTACATCCTTAGAAAAACCCTGTGGACAGTTTGACTTTGTCCTGTAGGGTCACTATGAGTCAGAATGGACTCGAGGGCAACAGATTTGGTTTTTTGTTTGTTTGTTTTTAAGGAGTCCCTGGGTAGTGCAAATGGTTAATACACTGGGCCTCCAGCTGAAAAAAGGCCAAGCGATCTCCTTCTGAAAAATCACTCATTGAAAACCCTAGGGAGCACATTTCTTCTCTGACACACATGAGGCCACTGTGAGTTGGAATCGACTCAGTGTCATCTGGTTCTGGCTTGGAAGGTTAATATTCATGACTATGATTTTTAACCACAAAAGATGTTTTACTGAAGTTTTATCATCTTCTCTTCTCTGGACCAGACATTGGGCTATCTAATTCTTCCATGGTTTTTATCCTATGGTGTCTCTGCTGTTCTTCAGTAGTTGTTCATTTCAGTCCTTTTAACTACAAAATATCGAATACATAGTGTCTTAGAAATAATATAAATGCCTTGGGCACGGCAAAATTTCTTGTTTGCCATTTAAAAAAAAAAACGTTATGTATTTATCCTTTCCCTACATGTCTGTCAAATTCTTTCATAGCTCTAGCTTATGACCATAGCATATACGCTAGCTTGGGAGGATACTAGTTTTTACTGCTGTCTTTTTATTTAACTTTGAGACCTCATCTGTCTTCCACACACTTTTCTGAAAAAATTTAAAAGCTGCCTGGTAGCAAGCTGACCCTTTTCAAAAACTTTTTAGTAACTAGATGCTTGATTGCAGGATCAGGCAGTGTTTCGTTCTGTTGTGTATAGGGTTGCTATGAGTCGGAATCAGCAACAACAACGACAAATGCTTGATTTGGAACAACAGACATTTATCTTGTAGCAATTATTTGCCAGGAAGAGTGCTATCAGAGATGAAAAGAAAAATGACATGATCCTTGCCTAAAGGTAACCTGTTTAGTGGGGAGAGACATGAATTTACATAAGTGATTACAATGCAGAGTGATATGTAAAACGATAATATCAAGTGTGTAAGACTCGAAGGTACAGGAGGAGGAACTAACACCAGAAACAAGGAAATTAAGAAAGAGTCCACAGAAAAAAGTAATGTATTCATATTGTTTAACAGTGATTTTGTTTTGTCCGTTGTATCATCATTATAGAAAATTTTTATTTATTTTATTGTTGTACTTTAAGTGAAAGTTTACAACTCAAGTTAGTCTCTCATACAAAACTTTATACATACATTGTTATGTGACCCTAATTGCTCTCCCTATGCTGTGACAGCACACTCCTTTCCACCCCTGATTTCCCATGTCCATTCAACTGGCTCCTGACCCTCTCCACCTTCTCATCTCACCTCGAGACAGGAGCTGCCCATTTAGTCTCATGTATCTACTTGAGCTAAGAAGCACACTCTTCACAAGTATCATTTTATGTCCCATAGTCCAGTCTAATCTTTGTCTGAAGAGTTGGCCTTGGGAATGGTTTTAGTTCTGGGTTGACAGTCTG